ACAGTCGGTAAGATAATGATGCTGGATAAGGAAAAAGATACTATTTTGTGTATGAAAAGATCAGAACAGGAGAGTCTCTGAAGTGGGCGACTATCACAGTAAAAGTGGTCAATGGCTCGAGAAGCACAAAAGGATAAAGTAAATGTCATGCTGGTCTGGAGAACAGAGCTGATGCAGCCACAAAAATAAGAGCCTGCCACCAACTGAGTACAGAGACGTGTGGACATGTGAACAGAATACAGGAGTGGGTTGCAGATGGCAATGAAACGGTCATAAGCCATGGCTGCCAAGAGAAATCCTTCAGTCACAATGAAGAGTGCAAAAAGAAAGATCTGGGCCACACAGCCTGCAAACGAGATGGACTTGCTCTCAGTCCAAAAGTTGCTCATAGCCTTCGGTGCAATAACAGATGAATAGAAGAGGTCAATAAAGGAGAGGTTGCCTAGGAAGAAATACATTGGTGTGTTCAGCCTGGGATCAATCATAATGATGGCCATCATCCCAAGGTTTCCTAGAAGGATCATGGCATAGACAAGCAGAAAGAACAGGAAGAGGAGGATATGGAGCTCAGGGCTGACCCTGAAGCCTACAAGGATGAAGTCATTCATATCTGAGTGATTGCTTGTTTCCCTGTCGCCCATAGAAGAGACCTGATGAGAGGCACAAGGCAAAATAAACTCTTTATTTGACCTTATAAATAGCTGCTACAGGGCAGGGGTTTGCAATGCTCTTCTATTGTCTTTTTTTAATTTTAGCCTCATACTGTGACAAGAAGAATTCAAACAAGTCATACAGCATTCAAATACTACTTTTACTTCTAATTCCCAAAGTGGCAAAATTAGACCTTTCCTCTATATGTTTGATGCCATTTGTGTTTTTATTATCACCTTTCTATAGATTTTTTTCTATCTACACACTGACTTCAACATGACTTCATGATATTGATGATAAAATACGGGGAAATGCTTCCTGTCCTGGCCACCATCGGAGAGCAGCAGCCATGGCCCTACTACCCCAATGGCCGTGGGCCTCAACAGGGTCACAAGGTGATGAAGAGCGAGGCACAGCCGACCCTGCCGGTGCCTTGCTAAATATACCAAGTTCCTTGTGACGAAGAACGAGGCACAGCCCACCCTGCATGATCGGGGCGGCGGGGGGTGGGGTGTCCATGGTGGGGTGGCTTCGCACCTTATGAGCAGTGTGCCATGGAGTTGCTCAAAGTGTCCAAGGACAAGTGCACACTCAAGTTCATCGAGAAGAGGGTGAGCATGCACATCCACACTAAGAAAAAGCGGGAGGAGCTGAACAACGTGCTGGCAGCCATGAGGAAGGCAGTAGCCAAGATTGATGCACCCTCACCCAATAAATGATTGTTCTGTACTCCACACAGATGTGTGTGTGTGTGTGTGTGTGTGTGTGTGTGTGTGTGTGTGTGT